CAACTCTTTGTTAACTGCTCCAGCAAAAAAAAGTCTGGATGTGCCCGAAGGGTTTGCTGTGGCATCTCAACGGCGTGTAGCACAGGGGCTTACACTGTTTTCAGAATAACCCCAGTCCTGTAAGGGTTGGTGACTACATACAACAAATCTGTGGGGATCTGGGACCTTGTAAGACATTGCCTTGCATCAGGAGAGCGCTGAGCACAGCCTTGAAGGATTCGGGACCTGGCTGTGTGGTGCCACAGCTGACCTGGGTTGGTGGTTCAGCTCCAGGTCTCTAAGCTGGGCTTGGAGAACTCCAGAGGTCCCTTCCAACCAGCACTTTGGTGATTGTACGATCCTGTGAAGGGCTGGCCACTGTTACCTAGTCCCATCCTTCCAGGTCGTGCCAAAAGCCATATGACATGGAAGCACACCTGACACCGTGTGCTGTGCCAAAACTGTTGGGTTTTGGTCTGGGAGCTCCTGTAGTTGGGTTTGACGAGGCAGAGGAGTCTCTGCATCGCTGCCCAAGAAATCCCCGTGAAGCCATCCCGATTCTGGAAATACCAGAAGAAATGTCAGGACTGTTTTTCATGATGCACAGGCCAGCCGTGGGCAGATGCGTGGTTGTAGTGGGATTACAGGGCTGAAGAGCTTCAGGCTTCATATTTGATGTCTCTGCACAGGACTTAACTCTGTCTTTGGACCACTTTGTGCGACATGCGATTGTTGGGGAAGAAAAAATAGGGCACACTGCTGATAATGATACTGAAGGATTTTAAAGAGCTATTGGGTGTAGAGCATTTTGGGGGATGCGCTTCAGTGTCCTGCAGCATTCTCAAGGGGGGGACATGCTGATGCCTTAATGATTGTGGAAAAATGTGGAGACCGCTGTGGCATGACCGAGGAGTAGAAAAGCTCCCAGATTTCCCCATAGTGGTCAGTAAATTTGGATGCCGGATCGCACGTGGGGTTTACCTGGGGTCTTTTGCCGCGTGTGGCGAGAGCGAGCAGTCCCTCGGTATGCCCAGAGTCCTGAGAAGCCTGCCCGCAGCAGGCTGTGCTCCAGGAGGTCTTTCTTCTAGCACTTACTGGGGTTGTAGACAGGATCCCTATCAGCTGTTTGTTCAAACTCTAAATTAGTCTGGGCCAAGAGTGGGTGCGTGGCGTGCGATTGCTGGCCGTGCCGCGCAGATCAGGAGCACAGGGAGTGGGGAGACCGAGTGGGACACGCATCCCCCCGCCATCTCACCATGGCTGCGTAGACCAGTTGGGTGCTGTGGCGTTACTTTCACCTTTCATATGCTTCTAGTCTGTATAATTACATCTTGGTAAGTACATGAAGTCACAGCAGATGGCAAAATCTGAAATGTTCTCTCCAACTCTTAATTTTAATTAGATTTCCAGTTATCCCTTTATGAAAAGCGTTCTGTGAGGGTCTGAAAGTATTACAACTATTTAAATAAGCTCCTGGTGTGACTTCTCAGAGCTAAAGTCGACATTAAAATCAATAATGAAAGGCTTTATTGGGTTTTATCTGTTGTTTTTAATCTTTTTTGGAATGTTTTGATCTTGTTCAGGTACCAGTTTGATATATTTTCTTGATTTGGTGCTGGACACATCAAAACATCAGTCGTGGGAATGATCTGTATTGCTTACCACAGCAGTCGTGACATACGTGGTTTAGAGATTAGTCAAAATGCAGTTGTGTGTCTGAGCTATGGCCAGCACTGTATTTGCATACTGTATTTACCATATTTACAGAATGTAGCAGCTCATAGTCTCCTGACTGGAGTTAAAATGACTGCCTGTTTAGATAGAAGTCTGAAAATAAACTGTAGTCAGAGCTGGTAATGATGCCTGTGAGAATGGTGGTTCGACTCTTTCTTGTATAATTGCGTGCAAAATGCCGTTTTTAGTTAAACTTGGGAAGAGTTTTGTGGGAATGGCAAAAAGCTAAAAATCGGTAAGACAGTAGATACCACTCTGTTATACACTCAAAAGCATCTGAATGCTGTTGACTGAAATGCCACCCTTCTTTCTTTTTACCTCAGGTTTACTTGAGCCACCAAAAAGGGAAACTTTCAGTCCATGAGGTTAAATTTTACCCAAATTACAAACACCTGGCAGGATATTGGTTAATAAGAGACAGTGCTAACCATGTCACCCATAGTTTCCGCATAAGCGTAGACATACAGTCAGGTGGAATTAGCTGGTCTTTGATGATGCTGTTTACATACAACCTGCGTATCGTACCAGAATGTGTTTTAGAAGTGGATTTAGTGTTCTGTTGCATCAGTAGCAAAGAAGTATGAGAATAAACTTGTGGAACGATCCTCATTTCATCTGCTGTGGCTCCAGTAACATTTCAGATGATGTGATGATACTCACTCTGTTATTGCAAGCCCAAAGAATTCTTTCTTTTCCTTGTTTGAAAGCAGTACGTAGGTGAGACGGAACATGAACGATAGCTGTTCTCAATGCAAAAGATCTTGTTTGTAGGTAGAGGTTAGTATTAATGCTTTGATAAAGCTGGGGAAGGCATGGATCGTACTGTGCTAGGTGCTATGCACACAGTTCAGAAAGGTATTGTAGCCTTAAAGGATAAAAAATCATATGCATAAGACAAGAGATGGTAAATAGGCCTAATCCAAAAATTAAATGGTTGTGTAAGTTTATATTTACTTTCAAAAGTATTTAGTTGGTGAGATTTTGAGGACAGCACTTCCTATGCCGATCTCATCTTTTGTTGCACTTTGCTTTGTCTTTTCGTATGTTTCTCTAAGTTTGCTTCCAACAAAAGCTCGGATTAGGAAGAAAATGCAAAATGTGTATGGTAACAACAAAAATACTTCTGCAGGACATGTAAGATAATTAGTCAGTGAGATTTTAAAAATACGTTACCCAGTTTTATTTAATGATTCCATTTGTCAAAACTAAAAAGGAACATTTTCTAAGAAAATTTATTAGCGGGGTTAAGTCGAGTACCATTCAGATCATCCTTATCTGGGAAATGTAAATTGCTAATTTAGTTTCGCAATGGGAAGAGTGTCTTGCTGCTTAATCTATCAAAGGGTATTTAAAGAGGAAATACATTGCTAGTCTGTAAATGGCAACTAGGGAGAAAGGCGAGGAAAAGCATCGAAAAGTGAAATAGCTATTTTTGTGAAATCCAAATGGGTATAAATTGGCTGTGAATAAATCGAGGTGGGAATTAGAGGCTGTTCCTTATCTTTAGTTAAGGTAGGCTCTGAGAGGGGAGTCAAACCGCACAGAATAATGACTTATTTAAGCAAGAGTAGGAAACAGCTTTTTTATCATCTCAAGTGTCCGTAGTTTTGTTATTATAAGAGCAGCACTAAACACAAAAGCATATCTCTGCAATATTGTGACAGTTTTTTAGAATGAAATTATTTGTCCACGCTGCAGACTCATCTTACTCATTTTAGTCTGTAAAAACAACTTGGATAGTCTGAGGGCAGAGTTTGTTGTTGCTTTCTTTTCTCCCCCTTTTTTTCCTTTTTCCCTCCATATACCTGATTTTTTTCCACATTATTATTTGTTGCATGTGATTACAAATGGCAATTTTCAGTTTAAATTTCAAATTGAGAGTAAAATATGGGAGGCAAAAGATGCGGCCTGATGCATCATTTTGAGCAAAAGAATGGAAAAAATGAGAACATACGAACGAAGTTAGTAATAATTGTAACACTATAATATGGTACCTGCTCATTAAATACCATTTACTCTAAAAAAAAAAAGCTTTCATTGCAATCTATCAAACAGTTTTAAAATTATTAGACTTGTGACTTTAATAAACTTGTGTTTTGTGACAAAAATGCAATAGGCATAAATATTTGAAAGGGTATTATAGCTGTAGAGTGGAATAAATCTGCACCTATGTTTCTTTCGTCTCTGTTAGTTGGTAATTGACATGGACCAATGTGCAAAATAGGGTAAGCTATTAATAACCCAGTAAATATCTTAGGTTGCCAAATAAGGATTTGAAATTATATACTGCCATGCATTTAGAGGTAATAGTTAATTGCAACGTAATAAAGATGCAGTATGTTTAAATGTGTATATTTTCATTTATTGTCAAACTTGTCATGAATTTCAAATGACTGAGGTGGAAGATGGTCTTTTCTCAGTGCTCCAGAGATGTAAAAGAAACTAAAATCTCAGGTACTAAGATGAATTAAATTAGTAAAATTAGAATTAAAGTAAAATTAGAACTTTTTAACATGGGTTGGAAGCAGGTTGGTTTTAAGGTGCTCCTGCCTTTAAGAAATGCCAGAGCTATTTGCTTCTCATGGGTCAGATCAGGAGAAGAAAAATGGAGTGTGTTTTGTGGGATGGATGTAGCTTCCAGCAATGCTCGGTGTGAGCAGCGGGATGAGGGGGGTGAGATACAGGTCGGCCTGAGACGTAGCATGCAGAGATGCTCCACTTTCACGATGGTTCCCCAGGGCCCTCAGCTCCATGATATTCCCACCTTGGACTGCCACGGCCTGGGGGTCCAGGGAGCCCCTTCCTCTCCCGTGGCTGGGAAGGGCAGTGGGGATGCTCGCAGAACCCGCCTGTCCTCCAGCGCTGGTGGAAAGGGGTGCCCGGCCGTGTCCGTGTTTCTCTGCTCTCTCGCCGCGGTTGTGGGCTGCCAGGGCTGCACCCCTGCCCATACGGGGCGGGCGTGGGGGTCTGCGCCCCAAACACCGTATGGCAGAGGTCCCTTCACTCGCTCGGAGGGGTCCCTGGGAGAGCGGGGCAGGGGTCGAGCCGGGCACTCGCTGGGACAAGAGAGCCCAGCAGATGTCTTTCTTGGTTTTTTTTTCCCTGCTTTACTGCATATCATTTTTGGATCATCTCTAATAACGTGTGTGTCTGTCCCAGTTTGGGAAGTCTGCTTTCTGGTACCCGCAAGTGACTGCCTCTGCGCCTGGCACGTTGCAGAGCTAAGCTGTGGTTTCCAGCTGCGTATTCACGCGTTTAACGAAGGTTTTCTTTTCTGTCTGGTGCAGGGCCGTATCTGCAGAAAAGCTGGCAAATCAAAAAAGTCATTCAGTCGAAAGGAAGCTGAAGCAACGTTTAAGAGTTTGGTGAAGACCCATGAAAAATATGGGTGGGTGACCCCGCCCGTCTCTGATGGCTGATGGTAGCAACCTGCACTTGACAAAAATGCTGAACAAAAGTACTGTGACATCTCCTCAGTGCTGTACACCACCCATCCTTTTCTACTTCAGCTTCAGTTACATGCCATGAATGTCAAGGAGACATCTAAGTTATTTATGAACAGATGTGTTTACAGAGGGAGTGGAAAAAAAAAAAAAAAGCTGTGTAGGATTATATTCCAAGAGCGGAGAATGGTCATCATTGAAGTCACTTGAGCGGATGCTGAGATTGCGTCATGTACCCCCATACAGCCCACATTGTCTTCAGCTTCTTTCCATGACAGCAGCACCAAACAGCAGTACTGGAAAGTCTATCCACTACTGCCTTGTTCATTTAAATGTAAATGAAACAGTTAATATTTAATAGGGAAGCAGTGCATTGCAGGTACATGTTTGCTGTGCTGTTTATCTTTGTCTCCTAGCAGGTCAACATAACTTGAAGATTTGTCTTTATGTGGAACTGTGGTCTGCTGTGACTAAATTTAGACCTCATTTGTGCTCTATATATTGACCTTTAATTCATAAATGATACCAGAATTAAAATGCTGAAAGGTCCTAGTGTTGAAAAATTATGAAGCGGCATCACCCAACCAGTTACGATGTGCTATCTGTGCTGATATTGTGATGTGCTGTTCCAAAATAAACCAGTGCAGTTAGCTGAAGGTTGGGTGGTTTTTTCAAATGCATCCATGCCAGGGCTTGGAGTGGTTGGTTGGTGGTAGCAGAACCATTATTACCCTGCTGGTACCTTCTGCAGTAGCATGTGGCCTGTCAGTTCTTCAAAATGGTGAAACAAATGAATGGAAATGGAGAAAGCAACCTTAAAAAAATATCTGCTTAATTTTGAAATGATATGCCAGTAGCAGAGTAAAAATTTTCAAGGCAAATGGAACATGGTTTGTAAGATGATTTGCATGACTGGAATTTTCTTTTTTATTTTCACTCAATAGACATTGTATGTACTTAGAGCCCAGTGTCTGAGAAAACCCACTGATGTATAAAAATGTCCTATTATTTAATCATTAAGATTTAAGTTTTCTGGTAAACAAATTGAAAAAAAACTTTCTAAGGGACTCCATAAAAGCTGAAGGTAATGTTTAGAATGGTATAAGAAAAGCATTAAAAAATATGGATTCCGAATGGAAAATCGTATTGGACACATGCTGAATAAAATCACCAGTATCGTTTCTGTTGCCTCAGGAATTCAATCATTTTGGCCAACTTTTGTATTCAAAGTAATAGGTTTTCTACTGTGAAATTCTGAGCACCTTGTATCCATTGTGACGATATTTTAATTGAAAGCAGGGCAGTATTGATTGTAAGACTGATTTGGAGGGGAGGGAAAGGTACGTGTTTGAAAATATTTTCTGTTCCATGGCTAATGCAAGACCGAATCCAAATGGTTGACCAGTTTCTGTTCATATGACAGCAACGGTGGACACCGTACAGAGAGTTTCAGGGTTTGGAGTTTGATTTAAAACTGCAGACGGTGGAGAAGAGCAGAAGAGTAATGAAGGACAAAGGAGTCTGAACGTAAGCAGAGCAGCAGCACAGCAGATACTGGTGTAAAACCACTGCTCAGTTTGTGTGTAGATGCTTTGTCAGCGTAGCTGTTTGCCAGCCAGATAGGGAGCAAAATCGTCAAAGCCTTTGCCAAAATGGTCACGCAGGGCAGAGCCACTCGGTTTTGTGGACGTGGCTGGTTTCTGATGCTTCTCCTCACCTCCACCAGCTGCCTCTTCTGTTTCTCCACTGATCGCTTGTGGTACCCACCTGGGGTGCCTCATCTTGGGTATAAATGGAAATGCTTCGCGCCACAAAGCTACACAGATCTTGCTGTGATTTATCTCACCCGGCTCGCTACTTGGAGATGATGCTATGATCAATGTATATATACTTTTTCCCCTCAAACTATGTATCAGTTCTGTGCATCCAGCAGTAGAATGTATCTTCTGAGTGAGGAATAACATTTCAAGCAATTTATTTACTCAGTTTTATAAACATTTTCTTGCCATCCTTTATGAAAGAGAAAACTAGTGTCTTTAGTTAGGCATCAAAATAATTTGCAATCCCTCGTGGGACTCCCTGAGAATGTACAGAGGGATCTAGCACTGGAAAGCATAAGGTTTGTTATTTCCTTCTGGAAGAGCTCTTCCCTCATTAGCACAGTAAAATTATGTTAAAAGCAGTGTGAAGGTGTGGTAAGTCTTGGGGGAAGGGGTGGGGAGCAGATTGTGTCTTTCTCTGCTGTTTTTTAACTCGCCTCTTTTTTCTGTCATTGGGTTATTTTAAATCTTCCTGAGAAGCGTATCTTTAATATTTAATTAAAGGGTTAGCTAAAAGGAACGTAGTGGGTGGATTGCTACCACTTCCCTCAAACCTACTTATTATGTGTCTTCTTAAGTGTGCTTTAAATAGTTACAGCAAACATCATTGCTAAAAATCACAGTTACTTTCTGGCTGTAGGAGGTTCTCTGTATCACTCAGAGTCTTGGAGCAGTAGGAGAGGCAAATCAAAAAAATCTGGAGTGCTTTGAAGCAGTAGCAGAAGGGGAGCAGAGCGCATGTGATAAGCTGCGGCAACAAATCGTGCAAGGAAGAAAGAAGGCAAAGTACGCTGCGTGAACTAGGGCAGGGTGAAGTTCCTGCTGCACCAAAAATAAGGCTGCTCCTATTGAAGGGACGGCTTAGAGCAGGAGCAGGCTGTGCTGAGGGAAATGCGGGGAAAAGGGGACAGCAGGGAGCACAGAAGCATTGTGCTGCTGGCCAGGGAGGGCAGGGGATAGCTGGGAACGTGGTTAATGAAGAGATTCAGAAAGAGGGTTGATCTATTTTGGGGAAAATTAGTTCATGGCTTTTGTCTCTGCAACAGACAAGCCTAAAAAAAAGTGAAAGAGAAAACTGGGAAAGGAAAGATGTGTGAGAGGAAGGAAGGGAGCAAGACCTGAGAGAGAGAGAAGCGTGGGCTGGTGAGGGTGTAACTGGACAGCTAAAACACAGGATGAAAGCACCTCATGATGGAAGGGTGGAAAACGAGAGATCAAAGGAGAACAGGACAGCACAATACCAGAAGAAGCAACACGGAGGGCTGAAGGGCAGCAGTTGAGGTCGGACCTTCTGCGGGAGCTGACTGCAGAGCTGCTCCAGCTGCCTTTCTGTTGAGGGAGCTTCAGTGAAAAAGATCCTGTAATGTCCTTTTTGTTTGTATCTTGGAAAGTGGTATGTGCTTCCTCCTTCTTCTGCCCTCCTCCTGGCAGCTGAGAAGGATATTAAGATTTGGAGCGGTGGTGTGGAACTCAAATCAGGCTGTCGCCCTACTTCTGTGGCTGAGAAGTAAAGTCAAGCGTCAACCCCAGATCCTAAACTCAAGGAGGCCAATGTTAAAATAGACTGGCCAGTCATCTGCTTTGTCAAAGTTCCTCAGTATCAAAGAAATGTGAGGATTTTTTCTGAAGACATTAAATATCTATATTCCTCCTTTATCCAGTCAAAAATGTCCTTAGCACTTCATATAAAATTAGAGGTCAGCACAGGTCCTCCAGCTCTCATTAGATCTGTTTTATCCGGAATATTATTTTCCATCTGCTGTCCCCAGAACAGATGATGAGTTTGAAACTGGCATCTGGGGAGGTGTGAAGTAGTATTAGGAAGTTAGTTCCTGGCTTTTTGAGTAGATGTCCTTTTGGAGGACCTGCTTTGAGTCTGAAAAAGCTGCTTGACTGAATACAGGCACTGAACGAAGAAAGCTTATGGGAAAGGAAGAAGACTGTCTCTCAATACCTAAACACTGAATGATCTCCACAAAGAACAGAGCTGATGATTTGTGTGGGAATGTATTTCTGTGTCATTAGAAATTGGTCCTAAAAGTTCAACAATCAGAAACTCAGCAGCCAAAGACCTCTTGAACTTGCCTTGTTTGCTCTGCCAAAGACAGCGTGTCGCCTTGATTCCAGCCTAAACTTCAGTCCTGAGTCCAAAGAAAGGTAATAGGTATGGCCTTTTTGTTTGGTGCTGTGACACTGTATTATAGAAAAAAAGACGTCATTCGCCTTGTCCAAAGTAGTACGTAAGATCCTAAAATGGAGCTTCTTGCATAAATAGCAGGGTTGGGACAAAGCCTTTCTAGTGTAACAAATACACGTGAAGTGACTGTGTAATATATATACTTTAAGAAAACTCATTTGGAAAGACATTCAAGAGTCACAGCGGCCAAGCAGCGATGGCTGTGATGGCCAGTGCTCCGATGCGTATGTGCTTTCCGTTCCCCAGGAACCTGCAACAGAAAGAAATCTGTTCTTGATAGGCTGACTGTACAGAGAAGATACTGTAGAACTAACTGGCATTTGGGATTTAAATGTCAGGGGTTTCTTTGCCAGATTTTACTCTCTTTTTCAGGACTTCCAGGTGCAGGCATGGAGCCATAGTGTCTTCGTTTTACACGAGCATTACGGCCAGCGTGGTTATTTACATGACTCCAGTGAGGTGGTTGATTATGAACATGCTTCTTGTCAATGACATTTTTCGAGGATAACTGTCTTCCAGCTGAATGCCTGGGAGTGGAGCTTGGCTGATGTACTGAGGATTTACTTTTTAGCGTTACGTGGGCAGATGCGATATGTGCTTAGGCATCTGAAAGCTGAGCTGAAATTACATGGGGAAGCATTTGCACAGAATCAGTGCAAAAGGTTTGTCTCTTCCACACAGTAGGTAACTCCTGGTGGAGAAGATTCCTCTCAAACTGTAGTATGAACTACATAAATGGAATTAAACAGGCCAGCCTGCTGGTGCAATAGAATTTTCCGGTTACGTATCCCCTCCCTGACAAGCACCAACCTATGCTAAGCAGTCTGCTACAGGCGTCACATTTCAGAAGATGACAGTCAGTAGAGGTGCTGAAGGAAAACTCCTGTGTACGTATCTCCTCCAGCCTTCCTGGTGCCTTACTGGGGAGATGATGCAGCCCTGATCTACGTGAACAAGAGAGACGCAGAGAGCTGTGCCCGTGCCCCGAGAGCAGGCACTGCCCCGCGGAGTGCCAGCTGTGGAAAGCTGGGGGCATCAAGCCTCTGAGCTTACCTAGGCAACGTGCGTCCTGTCGTGTGTTCACACACCCGTCTTGCTACCACTTTGCAAAGTTGTCTGTGACTTGGATTGAGTCAAAGGCTTCGGTACATCTCTGGCCCAAGTTCAGATCTGCAGAGCAGATGGGTTGCTAAATGTGCACTGGCGGCTTTCGTGTGGGTTAGTGACACATTTAAAGTTTCCCTTTGCTCACTCTGAAGAATAAAGCGGCTGTCGAACTAGGTCTGAGGACAAATAGGTTGAAAGTGAGTCACCTGCTATTATCAGCATAGCTGCACGGGAGGGGGTGGTTTCATTTGTACCTCAAAGGGTAGAGGTGAGGTACTGCAGCAAGAGCAGCCAGCAGGACATGGCAAGAAGCTGTAGAGATGGAGCTTGCCACCCCCCCATATTACTGACTGCTTAATTGCATCCTCTGAAATGTACATTGCTCAGCTTTGTAAATTTTACCCCCCCTTTATATCACTTGAAACTTTTACTGATATGCTAAGGAAACCTTAAAACCTGTCATGTAAATTTACATATAAAGCCTGCATTTCAGTCTAAAAGCATGCAAATGCCATGCTGACGCCTGTCAAATTTCACCAGCAGCTTCCTCACACACTATAGTAAGTAAGTCTTGGACAAATCAGTGATGACGGTAATTAACACGAAAATAGAAACTGGATTATTTGGATGTTTGACTTCGTCTTTTCCCTGATTGCTTTGTTTTTCGGTTTGATTGACTTCAGACAAGAACGTCAAGCTAACACCAGTGAAACTGTCATAGGATTGTTTATTTATAACAGTTTCTTTTGTTCATGCTGCTGAATAAGGTGGCAATAAATATTCATTGCAGTTGTGCTTCACCAAACGGGAATGCAGAGATAACTCCTCATGCTGTGAAAACTTTGCATTTTATACTTGGTTTGCCACCACACTTAGCATTCATGATTTTTTGCTGTCAAATATTCTTGTTTCCTTATTCAGTGACCTCATGTGTTTTAAATTATTTGTGGTTTACTACCAGAAATATTTGAAGTATGTTGCAGGTCCTCTTGGAAAAATCAGTGAAATGTAAGTGAACCAAATCTAACTGTCTGTGTGATTTAGAGGAGTTCTTCACTT